CTCAGTGAGCCTTAGCTGGTAAAATAAAACAAAATAGTTGAAAGGGTTTAGTTTAACACAAACAAATACAACGAAGATAAATAAGCATCGGTTTATATTTGTTTTCAGGCTGTTGGGGTGCGTGTGTGTAACGGCTGCAGGCGCAGCTCTGCAATTCCCTGCTCACGCCACTGCCGACAGAAGTGGTCTCCACTAGCGAGAGCTTTAGAGAGGTCCCTCTGAGATGGTATTTGGCCTACTCTTCCAAGGTGGCCGTATACCTCGGAAGAGGTAGGCAGTTACCCACACTTTACCCCACCACACGTGAACTTCCGATCGACTAAAACTGTGATTTACCCATTCACACCGGTGGGTAGACAGGTAGGCGTGGGGATTGGAGACATTTTCCTCATTTTATAAACTATAAAAAAAAATTACCAGGTAAGGCCAACTGAGCGATACTGTATATATTTTGACTTAAAACTTTCGTGATTGCAGAATTCATATTCTTGGTTCCTTCGGTAATGATAGAAAAAAAAATCAAAATAAGAATAATTATTTTCAATTTCTTATTTTAATTTAATTTTATTATTTTATACGTACTATACTGTATAGCTCTTTACACTATGAGATCTCTTTTACCAGTGGCAAAATATAATAGTAGGTTTTTACCCTTTTAACTGGTACAAAACTGACACCTTTATTCAAGGCATCATGTTTGCAATGACCACAACACAAGTAGTCAAAAAAAGCAAACAAAAAGAAGCAACTCTGATAAGGATGATAATATGCACTGTCCTTGAAGTTGATTGGCCCACACCCTGATAAGGATGAAAATGCATATTATCATCCTTATCAGAGTTGCTTCTTTTTGTTTGCTTTTTTTGACTACTTGTGTTGTGGTCATTGCAAACATGATGCCTTGAATAAAGGTGTCAGTTTTGTACCAGTTAAAAGGGTAAAAACCTACTATTATTGTATAGCTCTTGTTCAGAAACGACCTGGCTATCACAAATGATAGCCCAACGAAGTGGATTATCATCACGTGGAAATGTATAGCAGCAGCCGAATGTACTCAATGCGTGGTGCTGTGGATTCTAAATGCGGAGGGGAAATCAACGCGGAGGACCCGGAGAGAAATCCATAGGGAGAGAGAGAAACACGCACACTCCAAATATACAACAGCAGGAGTCAGCGTCACGATCGAAACGACGACCTCCTGCGTACCAGGCGAGGTGGTTAACATCTCCTACCCACCGTGATGATGATGAAAGAGAGAGAGAGAAACACGCACACTCCAAATATACAGCAGGCGTCAGCGTCACGATCGAACGGACGACCTCCTGCGTACCAGGCAAGGTAGTTAACATCTCCTAGCCACCGTGATGATGACACAGAGAGAGAGACACGCAAACTCCAAATATACAGCAGGCGTCAGCGTCACGATCGAACGGTCGACCTCCTGCGTACCAGGCGAGGTGGTTAACATCTCCTAGCCACCGTGATGATAATGACAGAGAGAGAGAAACACGCGTATTCCAAATATACAACAGCAGGCGTCAGCGTCACGATCAAACGGACGACCTCCTGCGTACCAGGCGAGGTGGTTAACATCCCATAACCACCGCGGCGCCCCTATCAACTGCTACCCTGGGAGGTGTTAGCGTGGTCCTCATCACACGGCAGCAACGGGCTCAGGGCCTGACCAGAGATGAATGAAATCCCCCATCCGTAGTCAATGAACACTCCACCCGAGTGAACATGCGCCAGACCAATGTCACGCTGCCACAGGCACGCCCTTGGGCCAATCTGCCGCGGGGAAACACCTGGCGTGTGCGGTCGGAAGGATGGGGGGGGGGTTCGATGAGTGGTTCATGCGTTGTGCTCGAGTCTGGATGGCAGAAGAGGGAGGGGGGGTTGGGGGAGGAGGAAGGGAGGGTTGGGAGAGGAGGGAGGGAGGGCTGGGGGAGGGAGGGGGGGTTAGGGGAGGGTTGGGAGAGGGTTGGGTGGAGGGAGGGCTGGGGGGAGGGGGGAGGGAGGGGATGGAGGAGAGGGAGGGGAGGGGAGGTGCCTTCGCCGCTATGGTGCTGGTAGCGCAGCAGCAGGGGATCTGGTGATGGGTTTTTGAGGGTGATTTGCTTTCTTGTTGGTGTCTATGAACACAGTAACACACAATGGGACTAATGTTACACGGGAAACCCGCGTTATATCTTTGATTAAAAATGGAGCACATAAGCAAACAAAAAAATAAAAAAAACCGACATGATGAACGAAGCAAAGTGCCGAAAGACCGAGCATCTTTCTCGTCTGATCGTTTAAAAAAAAGGAGGGAGGGAGGGTTGGGGGGGAGGGTTGGAGGAGGGAGGGGGAGGGAGAAAGACGTGTTCACCCAGAGCTCCTGGCCTTACCTCTAAACACTTTATTTTTCTCACCCTTTTTTCGGAATTTCTTTTCACCAACAAAAATAGAGAGGTTTGCTTTCGTAGTTGTGTGTGACATCTCACACACGTGCAGATGTCCACCCGACCCGCAACAACGTACGCGAAAGCTACCGCACCTACGCAAGGCCCGTCTCTGGGGTCTGCAAGGCGCCTGCAGCAGCAGCAGCAGCCGGAGCCTCCACGGGAGGCTGGTATCCGCTGCCAGGCTTCCACCGATGTCCCGATTGGAGTTTACGTGGATGCGCTGGGCGCCATCGTGCCAGGAGGCTCGATAAGGTACGCCTCCAAGGTGAGCGGAAGATTGGTTTTCTTCATGGAGTCTGAAAAGGTAGCAAGCGCCGCCATGGAGAAGGGGCTGACGGTTGGCGATTGGCACCTTACCTTGGAGCCACTGTCATCACCATCGGTACGCGTGATCGTATCCAACGTCCCCCGCTACATTCCCGATAAAGACATCCAAGATCACCTGGCTAAGTTGGGCACGCTGACTTCCAACCTTCAGCATGTGCCTTTGGGCCTCAAAAATCCTGCCTTGAGGCATGTCTTGTCTTTTAGAAGGCAGGGGGTCTACATGCTGGTGCCCAATGGGCAGCTTGAAGAGGGCTCCTTTGTGGTCATGAATGGAGGAAGGGCCCATAGGCTGTTTTACTGCAGGGACGTGCGTTCTCTGGCAAACGAATTACCGTTGGCAGTGCATTGAATGCAAGTGCTGCAACATTTGTGGCACCTCTGAGAATGACGACCAGCTGCTGTTTTGCGATGACTGCGACCGTGGTTATCACATGTACCGTCTCAGCCCTGCCAGGTCTGAGCCCCCAGAGGGAAGCTGTAGTTGCCGCCTTTGCCTGGACTTACTCAAAGAAAAGGCATCTGTCTATAGTCTATACCAACCAGTCATAAGATGGGGTCCTAGATGCCAACATCTTTGAATGATAACTCAGTTCTCAATGGCATACCCAATTAGTAAACCCAAGTTTGAGCCACGGTTTGTCTCCTGATGCAACTGGTATCTTTTGAGTGTAGCTGAGAACCAAGAATGTAATGTCTCTAAGGTATTGTTACAGGTCGGTTTTTTTTTTACTTACGAAATTAACCCGTTGTCGATATATTTGCACATCAGATGACATGACTGTTCTACATTTACTTTGTCACCTATATGGAGGGGTGTTCGTGCAGCTTGACAACTGATCAGCTACCCGTCGGAGGCCGTCGGACTGCGAGGGGGGCTGCGTGCAAAACGAGAGAGCGAGAGAGCGAGCGAGAGAGTAAGCTAGAGGGGGGGGGGGGGGTTTACATAAAGCCAAGTTTAAAAAATTTTAATTAAAAAAATTACGAAATGATGAACGAAGCAAAGTGCCGAATACACCGAACATCTTCTTGTTTCCACTGATCGTAAAAAAAAAGACAACTGATCCATAGACATCCAGCATGGGTAGGGAGGGCAGGGAGGAGAGAGAGGGGAGAGGAGGGAGGGGAGGGGAGGGAGGGAGGGAGGGGAGGGAGGGAGGGAGGGAGGGAGGGAGGGAGGGAGGGAGGGAGGGAGGGAGGGAGGGAGGGAGGGAGGGAGGGAGGGAGGGAGGGAGGGAGGGGAGGGAGGGGAGGGAGGTCAGGCAGGTGCCTTCGCCGCTATGGTGCTAGTAGCGCAGCAGCAGGAGATCTGGTGATGGGTTTTTGAGGGTGATTTGTGTTTCTTGTTGGTGTCTATGGACACAGTAACACACAATGGGACTAATGTTACACGGGAAACTCGCGTTAAATCTTTGATTAAAAGAAAAATACAAACAAACGACATGATGAACGAAGTAAAGTGCCGAAAGACTGAGCATCTTTCTCGTCTGATCGTTATAAAAAAAAGGAGGGAGGGTCGGGGGGAGGGTTGGAGGAGGAAGGGAGGGTTTAGGGAGGGAGTGTTGGAGGAGGGAGGGAGGGTCGGGGGGAGGGAGGGAAATGGGGGGAAGGAGGGAGGGTCGGGGGGAGGGAGGGTTGGGGGAGGGAGGGAGGGGAGGGGGGAGGGAGGGAGGGGAGGGGGGAGGGTTGGAGGAGGAAGGGAGGGTTTAGGGAGGGAGTGTTGGAGGAGGGAGGGAGGGTCGGGGGGAGGGAGGGAGGGGAGGGGGGAAGGAGGGAGGGTCGGGGGGAGGGAGGGTTGGGGGAGGGAGGGAGGGGAGGGGGGAGGGAGGGAGGGGAGGGGGGAGGGAGGTTTGGGGGAGGAAGGAAGTGAGAGAATGATGGAATTAGTGGAGGAGGAGAAGAGGGGAGGGAGGGGGGTGAGAGGTGAGAATCTTGGAGAGAGGGACGGGGTATGGGAAGTATCAGGACTGGAGTGAGCCAGGTCAGGTGGGGGGCTATATAAGGGAGGGGGGGCGAGGGGGATGGCGGTGGGAGGCGTAATGGGTGCACGCTCAATGAGGGCACGTGTGATGAGTGGGGCGGGGGGTGGGTAACGAAGGGGGGGGGGGGGTGATGAAGGATGGAGGAGGGAGCGTGCGAAGAGTGGGAGATGCGTTGGGGAGGAGGAGGGAGCGAGTGTCGTTGTAAGGCGCGGCCTCTGCGTAACTTTTTGTCGGGGCGTCTGCACAGAGGCGTGACGCGGCGACTTCTCAAGCCACGCGCGGAACAGTCACTCACACGCACACACAGAGAGACACAGAGAGAGAGAGAGACACACGCGCACAGAGAGAGACACACGCGCACACACACAGACACACGCGCAGAGAGAGACACACACAGAGACACACGCACACAGAGACACACGCACACAGATAGACACACGCACAGAGAAACACACGCGCACAGAAACACACACAGAGAGACACACACACACAGAGACACACGCACACAGAAAGACACAGACGCACACAGAGAGACGCACACACACAGAGAGACACACGCACACAGAGAGACACAGACGCACACAGAGAGACACAGACACACACAGAGACACACGCACACAAAGAGACACACGCACACAGATAGACACACGCACAGAGAAACACACGCGCACAGAAACACACACAAAGAGACACGCACACAGAGAGACACAGACGCACACAGAGAGACACAGACACACACAGAGACACACGCACACAAAGAGACACACGCACACAGATAGACACACGCACAGAGAAACACACGCGCACAGAAACACACACAAAGAGACACGCACACAGAGAGACACAGACGCACACAGAGAGACACAGACGCACACAGAAAGACACGCGCGCGCTCTCTCCTAGAGGCAGCGATCCAATCTGCGCACGGTCCTCAATCGATTTATCGATACTCCCCGCCCCCCTCCACAACCCCCTTAAAATCATCGCCACTGACCCCCCCAATCGCATCGCGCGTGACGCGCAGCAGAAGACGCCTCGCGGTCGTGGTGAGCGCGAGGAGGGTGCGCCCTGGGAGAATCGCGACGCGGAACCTCTCGGCGGGGTGTTTTTGTTTCTTCTTCTCTTCACTACCGAAGAGGACGACTTTGGCGACCTCTTTACGCGTTTGGGAGCATCGTGCGGGGAGTGACCCTCTCCCAACCCCCCCACCCCCCCCAAGTGGACCGGAGCGACTCGCTGACACGCCGGGGGTAAGTCCCGTGCCCCCTCCTCCCTCTCCCTGTTCGTCCGTCTTTGTATCTCCGCGAACAAATGACGCTTTTCGTAAAAAAATAATGTATTTTGTTGATTCTAGATTTGAAGCTTTCGTGACTGCAAGGATTCCTACTCTTAGTTCTTTCGGTAAAGTTACGTAGGTAAAAAATGAAATTAAAATTCATAAAAATAAAACAATAAAATCACGACGTTTCGGAGGCAACACAAGTCTCCGTCATCAGGTGGGACCGTATTTTGTTGACTCTAAAGCTGCCCCTACACCTCTTTGTGCATTCGCACAAAGAGGTGTAGGGGCAGCCCCGCGAATTCGCTCGCTGATGCTACTGCCGGCGTGAGGGCCTCCACGAAGAGGGAGATATAGAGAGCCGTGCAAGAGGGCATTTGGCCTACTCTTCCACGCCGGTCAGCCGTCTTGAAGGATAGAAAATATTATTTTTTAAATAGTGTAGTTCCTTTGTCAATCCACTGTTGCATGAATGCCTGCGCACGCCGTGATGGTCATTGGGGTTGTTTGACCATACTTCACCGCGCTGGTCAATGCGAGTTCGTGGAGGGGTGCAGGGGGCTGGCGGGAGGTCAGGACTGATTTAGGTATCGATCGTCACTAATGTTAGCCGTGGCTGAAGCATCGAACTGTGGACCGCCAGTTTCATAGAGCTCGCCAATAAGCCGTAGTCGTAGTAACAAGAATAACAACATCCACATCATAGTAGATGTAGTAATAATAACAACGAACAGATTAATTTATCCAGAAAAAAAATATCCCCAATGAGTCTCAGGGCACCTTCGTGAGGAGGGCGCTGCCACATTTGGCCGTCAATTCCATTTTGGCAACGACAGTTCTGGCTTTTTGTGTGCATTGGAAATTATGGATCCGTGGAGGAATCCGCCGAGACATTCGAAGGGAATAGCGACTCAAAGGGGCCGCACAGCCGGCTTGACGAACCCACTTGCTGTACTCCCTACATCCTGGCTCACATTGCTCGCTCGCAGCTCGTTTGCGGAGCCAAGTCTCTGCATGATCCACTAACCCTGGCCTCCAAAGCGCCGGATCTCAGGCGCGCAACCACGTGGGCCGGGCGGCATTCTACGGAGCGTGCTGTGAAATGTGTGTTGCCTGTGGGTAATACAGCAAGTAGGTTACTGGGACTGGAGTGTATTCGTAGACTGGAAGAGCGGCCTATCTCACCTTTGCACGCGTGTTGGGTGTTCTCCGGGTTTTCCGGTTTCCTCCAACGCACGAAAACACAGGTGCTCAAAAAATAGACTTTTGTCTGCAACATACCAAGGCAAGCATTGTTGTGTTGAAAATAGTTGCAACTGACGTAGACGCAGAGAGAGAGACTCACTCAGAGACTCTCCGACTTGCATAGATGCATTGGGCCATCGCAGGGCTAAACAGAGACCTGATATCGACTCGCTGACGCACACAGAAAAGCATGGTCTTACATAGACTTACATTTGAGACTCAGTGACTTACATACAGACCATGACTTACACAGACAAACATTGTCTAACATAGACTTACATTGAGACTCAGTGACTTACATACAGACCCTGACTTACACAGACTTACACCGGAAAGCATTGTCTTACGTAGACTTACATACAGAGACTCAGTAACTTACATAGACTTACACAGAAAAGTATTGTCTTTCATCCACTTACATTGAGACTCGGTGACTTACAAAGACTTGCATAGACTTAATGACTTACATATAGACGCTGACTTACATAGGCTTACATAGAGACCCAGTGACTTACATAGCTTACATAGAGACCCATAGACACACATCGACATTGGGGACCTTTATTTTATTGCCAGAGGGGAGAGCCCAGAGGCTATTTTGTAATGGAGACCCGGGGTTAAATAAGTGCAGCTAAACACCACAGACTAATATAGACTGACGACGAACCCCATAGGGTTCCACAGGCATCAATAGGCTTGGGAAACCATAGAGCTACATCAACTCCTCGAGACTTAGAGACCCACACGTTTACATAGACAGCCATACAACTACAAAGTCGCCCAGAGACCTAGACCCATAGGCTGACATCGGGACCCAGAAACCTCGAGGCACGCACACTTACATTGACACCAAGGCTGTAGCCATGAAGTCAACATTGGGGGGGACCAAATCGTCCAGTGGGTATGGAGGTCCCCCCCCCAGAAAAATATCAAAATTTGAAAACAAATTTCCTGCCTAAAATATAAAAAAATTACTAACACATAGGATGGACTTTCTATTTATTTTTTACAATAATGTCTAATAGTGTATTGTATTACATTGCTCTGTTTTTTCTTTTTTAGCTTTTCGTGTTTCATTGTGTGTAATGGCAGAGATTAGGGATTAATAAAGTACAACCATAACCACAATCATATAAACAGAAATACATTTCATAGCAATATATTGGGGGGGGGGGCATTTTGAGCATATTTCAATATTGGGGAATGTGTCCCCCTCAATACATATTATAATTTCGGCCTTGATTGACACCATTAGAACTAGAGACCCAGAGCCATTACACAGAGATCAATAGACTTAGAGACCCGCATCCGAACCATAAATCTCTCTTTAGACTGGAGGAATCCGATGAGCTATTAAGCTGTTTTTCACAGATGTCCAGTAGATCCCCATCGGCATGCCCAACGATACAGAGACTTACACCGACTGATAAAATTGCCTCTGGAGTCGACTAAGTGTCACGCGATACCAAGAGCCTCTCATTTGATGGACGCCTGGGATTCAGTGTTACACGCAGAGCCGCCTTGCTCGATCCACTGCTGGATGAGGTCCGCCCGCACGACAGCTTAAAGCTAACCGCGCTTCGAGTAAGTGGCAGCAAAAAGACTGCAAAATTCCCAATGTGCACACAAAATCAAGCCACGTGGAAATGCATTCTACGCCATCTTCACAGCTAACGAATACACATCGCAGAATACAAACGTGGGTGATTGTCAAGCGCGTTCGTCGTGCTCGCCGTGGCAAATGTGTGTTTGCTTTGCCCGGTCGGCGTTCAACCGCCGAGGTGGCGACGGGTTTCAATTTTTCTCATCCCTGGTCGCTCCGTGCCACCCCCGCATCCCCTCTCCGCGTGCACCGCTCCCGTTCCTTTGCCACGCGCCGCCGATATCCCGCGGTGATCGAGGGGCGATTGAATAATAACAATAATCGTCGTCGTAGTCGTCGTGACAAAAAAATAAAAATAAACTTTTCCTTTGAGCGTCGCTCGAATTTTCGCGATCTGTGCGGGGCACGTGACTTCTTGGGACTCGCCGAGGGACGGTGGGAAAACGATCTCGCTTTGACTTTGCTCGGCAAACGGCGAGTTGGGCTGGCGCGTAACGCGTCGGTGAAGAAGGGGTTGGGTGATGGCGGTAGTGGTAGCGGTGATGGCGGTGGTGGTGGCGGTGATGGTGGCAGTGGTGGTGGTGGCGGTGGTGGTAGCGGTGGTGGTGGCGGTGGTGATGGCGGTGGTGGTGATGGGGGTGGTGGTGATGGTGGTGGTGGTGGCGGTGGTGATGGCAGTGATGGCGGTGGTGGTGATGGGGGTGGTGGTGGCGGTGGTGGCGGTGGTGGTGACGGTGGTGGCGGTGGTGGTGGCGGTGATGGGGGTGGTGATGGCGGTGGTGGTCGAGGCTGGGAATCGGGGTGACGACCAGAGTTGCAAAACGCGCCCTGAGCGAGAGGACGCCCGGTCTAGAGAGATGGAGCGGCAAAATCAGCTCCGGGGTAAGGGGGAGGGGTTGCAGCGTGCTCCAGTGGATTACTGCACCACCCGGTGACCGTGATATATTTCGGTGTCTTGGTGGGGGACGGGGTTCATGCAGCAGGAGATCGATCAAGACCTGACGAAACATCACCGCAGTGTTCACGGCAACAGATCCGTGTTGACTCAACGAACGTGATCCGTTAGATCCTTGGATCGCCTTCTGCTCAGTACTCCGAGGTGGAAGCTTCGTTCCTGCAGAGCTGATCGCCAGACCTGGTCTTCACCTGAGGACGGCTGCTTGCGTTGTGGCCGAAACGTCGTGAGAATTATTTTATTATGTTTTATTTTTATTATTTTATTACTTCCCTTCTACGTGCCTTTACCGAAAAAAACAAGAAGATGAATCCCTGCAGTCACGAAAGCTTTAAATCGAAATACAATCAGATTGGTTCGATGTGTGTATATAAGTCCCGTCTTGAGAAACTCACCTCTTTACACTGGCCTTCAGCCCCTCTGAGTCCTGGCCGTGTGCCCTGCAGATTCTCTTCATTCCCGACTTTCCATGCACGATGTGTGTGTATAAGTCCCGTCTTGAGAAACGCACCTCTTCACACTGGCTTTCAGCCCCTCTGAGTCCTGGCCGTGTGCCCTGCAGATTCTCTTCATTCCCGACTTTCCATGCACGATGTGTGTGTATAAGTCCCGTCTTGAGAAACTCACCTCTTTACACTGGCCTTCAGCCCCTCTGAGTCCTGGCCGTGTGCCCTGCAGATTCTCTTCATTCCCGACTTTCCATGCACGGCGGCGCATTGGTGAAAGCGCCGGATGAAATCCACTACATTGTAAATGTAAATTATTATTATTATCAAGATTGATGATGGAAATATGAATTGTCCAGTAATAATTGTAAACTATGTCCGAATTTTCATACGCAGCGCCTTGAGAATGATTGTTTAAGGCTGCTTTTATAAATTGAAAGTATTATTAATAAAACACTTTGCATTTAGTACAATCGATGTGACTGTGACTGCAATGCGACATGAGAGGTCGTCGCGATGAGCGAACGGGGATGATTTAAGGAGCGGCTGTCACGTAATTTAATCTCGTCATTTAATCTCGACCGCGAAGATTCCCGCGGCTGCGCCGTACATCTCGTATCGCGCGTTTGTTCAGAACCATGTCCGACGTTTCGCACCAGGTCCTGAATCGAGCCGCTCCCCCCCCCCCCTCTCTCATTCGATTCTCCCTCCCCCCACCACGCCTGACTATTGCATCGCGTGGTGTCACAACCACCGCGAGCTGACGGACAAGCCAGGAAATCTCGCCGGCATGCGCAGCGAAACGTCGGACGTCGTGACGCGCGCGGAACGAGCCGGGAGCGCGCGTCGCTCCGCCGATGCTGCTGCTTCGCGGAAATGCGTCCACCGTGGACGAAGACGAATCTCTTTCCGGCGGACGCGCGAACTCGCCTCTCTCTTTTTGCTTTCCGCAGAATGGACCGACTCGTCGGCGCGTTCGCCCCGCTGCTCCTCTGCGTCCTCGTGGCGACGGAGTGCGCAGGTGAGCGAGGGAGAGAGTGAGCGAGTGAGAGAGCGAGTGAGCGAGTGAGAGAGTGAGCGAGTGAGAGAGTGAGTGAGCGAGTGAGAGAGTGAGCGAGTGAGAGAGCGAGTGAGCGAGTGAGAGAGTGAGCGAGTGAGAGAGTGAGCGAGTGAGTGAGAGAGCGAGAGAGAGAGTGAGCGAGTGAGTGAGAGAGCGAGTGAGCGAGTGAGCGAGCGAGCGAGAGAGCGAGTGAGAGAGTTAGAGAGCGAGCGGGAGAGCGAGTGAGAGAGTTAGAGAGCGAGCGGGAGAGTTAGAGAGCGAGCGGGAGAGCGAGTGAGCGAGAGGGAGAGCGAGTGAGCGAGCGAGCGAGCGAAAGAGAGAAATGGTGAGAATGGGAATCATTTTTATTTGTACAGGAGAAGTAAAACCGATGAGCTATGAAGCTCTTTGCGCAGATGTCGATTCGGGGACACGGGGTTAGAACGTTACACCAACAAACAGTACGAAAACACGATAGGGGTGTAAAGTATAGGAAAGGTCACTTATATTTTTTATATACTGGGTAAAGCCCACTCAGCTATTAGCTTCTTGTTCAGACGCGACCAGTCCACAAATGCGAGCTCATCGATGTGGCTTATCATCGTGCGGAAATTTAGAGCAGGAACATACTCTGAATATTTCTAGATTTGAAGTTTTCGTGACTGCAAGGATCCATACTCTTTGTATTTTTCGGTGAAGTCGCGTAGGTAAAAAACAAAATAAAATAAATTTAAATGAAAACAACTAAATTAAAACAAATCACGACGTTTCGAAGGCAACACAAGCCTCCGTCATCAGGTGGCTGCTCCAGCAAAATGACTGTAGCCTAAACGTGCGTTTCTAAATTTAGAGGGGAAAAAACGGGAGGACCCGCATAAAACAATTCACGCGACCATGGGGAGAGAGACACGCAAACCCCAAATATGCAGCAGGCGTCAGGGTCGTGATCACAAGCCCCCGACTTCCTGCATACCAGGCGAGGAAAATAACATCTCGCCATGGATACAAAGAAACGGAGAGATGCCGAGATAAATGGAGACGTAGAAAGATGAGACAGTCCCTGTGTCTACCTACCCATACATCAGGGTGTCTACCCACACTCTCACCGTGAGGTTAGTCACTACTGAAAAGAAGCGGTCCCGATTTTATCGACCTCCAGAGGGATGATGATTATGGCGGTGGTGGTGGTCTGTCTCAATGCTCCAACCAATATGAGAGTCTCTGCTGGGTTTTTTCAAAGCCACCAAAAGATTCGTTTTTGGGGGCTCACCAATCTGAGCCTGGACGTGTAACTTGGAGCTGAGAATGGCGATTCTTCAAGTACGCTCGTTGCTGGAAAATAAACGGATCACCTCTGTTCCCACGTCGTCGTGTGCCGCTGGACGGGAGGTGTTCGATGGTGACGCCATCTCGGTGGCCTCATTCATACCTGTAAACCCCTTATCAGTGCCCTCCCTTACGACACACCAATTCAGACCTTATTGATACATTTCAGCCTTCATCCTACAAACTCCCATCACAAGGGAGAAACGCAAACAAATAGACAAAAACATGTGCCCGTATTGAAACGGCTGCACGCCGTATGGACCTGACAACTCAATTTCCCTGTACAAGAATACGGGGCAAACCGGGTGGGGTTGACACCTGTGCGTCATCTGCCTGTTCCTTGTCTAGATATACCTAAACACGCACACACACACAGGTACACCCAGACACACGCGGACACACTGCCTGTATTTTAACGCTCATGGCACCGACGACTTAAACAGTCTCAAAACTTGAAAGGGGCCGTCCATAAATGACGTCACGCACCTAGGGGGGGGGGGGGGTCAGACATTTGTGACGATGTGTGACGAAGGGGGGGGGGGGGGGGTTGAGAAATGTGACGTCACATCAAAATACGCAATTTAAAATAAAAATAGACAACACGTTCTACTGAATTAAATTGACTTTTTAGTAAATGTTTTCTTCTACAACATCAGAGTGCAGCGCCACATTAAATACGCACTACAACGACAATAGTTTAAAGTGATTTGAAGGATGTTTTTTTTGGGGGGGCAGAGCTTTGTGACGTAATATTTGAGGGGGGGGGGTCTGACTTTTTGTGACGTCGTGTGACAAAGGGGGGCGGGGGGGGGGAGCGCTAAAAAATCGTCCAAAATCGCGTGACGTCATTTATGGACGGTCCCAAACTGAAATCACCCGTCACTCATCCACACGCCGAATCACTGCTCGCTGTGCGCGCGTGTGTGATGGAACTTCTTTCGCACCGTACGGTAGCGTTTCGACCACAAATGACGTCATCAATGAACAATGAATAGACGGCATAGCAAGCGGGATGGCCAAAGTCTTTGCGACAGGAAACAAATAGTAAACGATTAAAAAAAAGCCTTTTCAGCCAAGACAAATTACGTCACACGCCACGCGCCTCGCCCTATGACATCATCGTGCGTGACGTCATCGGGAATACCCCCCGCGGTGATTGTCAGAGTTGTTACACAATGTGCGCACGTGTGTGTGCGTGTGTTGTGGTTTGTTTGTTTTTTTTAACCTTCCTATTATTATTGACAATGTTGAGTGTTTTTTTTTATTTTGTTATTGGTGACAATGTGGTGTGTAGAGCGAGTTCAAATCCTCGTTGGAGCGTTGGCTCAGCACGTCATCCCTCAAGGGGCCGTCCATAAATGACGTCACTCACCTAGGGGGCGGGAGGGGTCAGACATTTGTGACGATGTGTGACGAGGGGGGGTTTGAGAAATGTGACGTCACATCAAAATGCACAACTTTAAATAAATATAAACACGTTCTACTTAATTAAATAGAATTGTTATAACAACAATAATTTTGATTAACTTTTAATTATTAACTATTTGATTTTTCAAATTTTCTAGGGTCACATTTTATTTATTACATGAAGGAGCATTTTGCTTCTCCATGGGAGAATGGAGAAGCATACATTTTGTTAATGTTTTAAATTATTATTAAACATTTTGACTTTAATGATTCTACCAGGCATTTTCATTCTGTGGAATGAATGTGATTGTTATAATTGTACTCTCCATTTTGCTTCGTTCTACTACAAAGTTTCAAGTATTTTTTTAATAGTTATAATTACTTTTAATATTTTATAATTATAAAATAATTTCAATATAATATTTTGAACATCTGCAGTTTTAGTTAGACGTTGAATATTTGCAAGTAAATGTTATGCTAAATTTCAGCTTTCCAATGCCTCCTTTTTAATACATGTTATCTCCTACAACATCAGAGTGCAGCGCCACATTAAATACGCACTACAATGACAATAGTTTAAAGCGATTTGAAGCATGTTTTTTTTTCAAAATGGAAATTTTTTTGGGGGGGGGGGGGGGCAGAGCTTTGTGACGTCATATTTGAGGGGGGTCTGATTTTTTGTGACGCAGTGTGACGAGGAGGGGAGGGGGGGGTCATAAATCGGCCAAAATCGCGTGACGTCATTTATGGACGCCCCCCCAAGGGTGGATAAATTAAGTACCACACTGTGTGGGGTAGTCAACAGCGGTTTGTCCTAAGGCTCGAATCCCCACGCTAGCCCCGCCATAGAACTGTGGAATTTCCACCACCGCCTCAGTTCCACGGGAGATCAGCACCAAAGCCTGGACGCTCATTTGAGCAGCAGGAACTCCACTTTGCAAAGTTTTTTGGCAACAAAAAAAGACATGAAACATCTCCCGAACGAGGGTGGCGATGTGGCTAGCACCACGCCCGGCCGCCTTTCTCTCTCCAACGCCGCTGCTCTTCGCAATCGGGTGTATTTCTGTTGTTGTTGCTTTTCACTCGTCTGACTCTCGTGCAGCGGCCGCGGCAGACGCGTGTGGGGGGCTGTTGACCGACCCGCCGAACGGCACCGTCATCCAGTCGCCCTCGTACCCGAGCAAGTACCCCAGCAATCTGAACTGCCGCTGGGAGATCACCGTGCCTAGCGGATCGTCCGTGCGCCTCACCGTGCAAGAGCTGCTCCTCGAGTCGCAGACGAGCGGCTGCAAGTACGACTACCTGCTCGTCTCCTACGGATTCGAGCACGTGGGCGCGCCTGCCATGGTGTGCATGATGCCGAGCGCCGGCCAGCGGGCGATGATCTCGCCCGGGAACAGGCTCGTGCTGCAGTTCGTCACGGACGCCTCCCTCGAGGAAAAGGGATTCCGAATCACGGTCGACACCATAGGTGAGTCGCGCCAGCGCGCGCGTGCGCGTGTGTGTGTGTGTCGCGCGTAGGGGGAGTGATAGTGCAGTGGTTAGCGCGTTGCGCTATGAACCCGGCGACACGGGTTCAATTCCCGCTCACGGCCAACACCAGTGACGATTATCTCAACCGGTCCCGGGCGTCCCCTAAGTCGACTCAGCCTCAAATGAGTACCTGGTGCGGTGTGTAAACATCACCACTAGGGAGACAAAGGCGGTCGGGCGTGGTGCTGGCCACCTACCCCCTCGTGTACCGTTCCGGCCTTCATAGGTGCTCGCTAACAGCACTTGCCCCTACAGTCTGTTAAGGCTATACGGGGGATCTTTGTCGCGCGTGGTGTGTGCTGGTAGGTGGTATGCGGGGTGCGGTGGGTGGTGTGGTGGGGCGCGAGAGGGTGGTACGTGGTATGTGTTGTGTAGTGGGTGGTACGTGCTGTGTGCTGGGTGGTTGCGTGCTGTGTGGTGGGTGGAATGTGTGTGTGGTGAGTGATACGTGGGGGGCGGTGGATGGTATGTGGCATTGTGTGCTGGGTGATGGGTGGTACGTGGTATGTGCTGGGTTGTAGGCGGTACGCGGGGGTGCGGTGGTTGGTGCGTGGGGCGTACGGGGTGGTATGCGGTGTGTGCCGGGTGGTTGCGTGCTGTGTGGTGGGTGGTACGTGCTGTGTGGTACGTTTCTTGAGTGGTGTTTGCATGGTCCGTGGCGCGGATACCTCCCTTGAGGAGTGAGACTTTCAGGCCAACCATTCACAGCCACAGGTGAGTCGTGGTGAGTCGTGGTGGTTGGGTGTAGAGCGTGGTGCGTGGTCTGGTGGTGGTTGATAGGTGGCAGGTGGCAGGTGGCGCTTGCCACGATCACGATCACGTTGACCTCTGTTGAGGACCCTCTCCTGCGTGGCACGTGATTTTCTTCAGTTCAGTTTGCTATACGTTGTGGGGTTTATTTAGTTTTTTACAAGACTGTCCGCTACGAGTTTGGACTGAATGGGCTTGGGCCAGGGCACATCGCTCAGCGGGTTGGTGGCCGGTGGTCGAGACGAAGGAGTGGCAGCCCAAAGGAGGGACATCGCGGCACAGTCGTGAGAGGTGGCCTCCTCTACGGAGATGGAGCACCAACATCGACTTGTGTGCAGTAGTTGGATCGATCGTTGTCTCAGGAGTTAGATGTATTGGGGGGAGCGGTGGTGTAGCGGGTAGCGCGCTGCGCTACGAACCCGGCGAGCCGAGTTTGATTCCCGCTCACGGCCAACGCCGGTGACGATTATCTGAACCGGTCCTGGGTTTCTCCTAGGTCGACTCAGCCTCAAATTAGTACCTGGTGCGGTGTGTAAACATCGGCACTCGGGAGACAAAGGCGGCCGGGTGTGGTGTTGGCCACCCACCCCCTTGTGTGTTGTGCCGGCCTTCATAGGTACTCGCTAACAGCACTTACCCCAACAGTCTGTTAAGGCTAAACGGGGGATCTTTGTCTTTGTTCCTTCACGATACTGTAAGGGATCGTGATGGCTGGGGTAGGGGGGTCGAGGGGATGCCGTCAACCAGCAGTGGATGGATCATGGCTGCCACCCTTTATTCTTCGTGCGGCTGATGTTGATGTGGAGAGCAACAGCTGTGACGTGCACGTTGAGGTGGCTGAGCCAGATGGTCGCGTGCGGAGTCAGCGAGGTGGAGCAGCTGTGACGATGATGACGACGATGACGCCTCCTCGTTCGCGTTCGTGAATCGGGGACGCACCGACCGGAGACTGACAACGACAACTTGACGATGATGATGACGCCGTTGACGATGTTGACGTTGACGATGTTGATCATGATGACGATGATGACCACGTTGACGACGATGATGACGGCGATGATGACGACGTTGACGATGATGATGACGACGTTGACGATGATGACGTTGACGATGTTGATCATGATGACGAAAATGACCACGTTGATGACGACGATGATGACCACGTTGACGACGTTGATTATGATGACGACGTTGACGATGTTGATCATGACGATGACGACGACATTGATGACGACGTTGACGATGAGGTGCCACGATCGGTAATGAAATACCTCGCCAAGAGAAACAAAACAGACAACCCCCACCACCCTCCCCACCGCCCCCGGGTAGATTTTAATTTTCGCAACAATTTTCACGCTCGCGTAATGAACTCCCCTCGTCGACGACGACGACAACGAGGAGGAGGTGGGGGTGTCACCGTGCGGGTCGCGGGGCAGACGCCGTCCCCCGCACGGCGTGTGCGCGTGGGGCTCTTGGGAGGCGCAGTACAAACACCGCGCGCTGATGAACGCCGTCGTCTCGTCAAGGGTTGGTGGTGCTGGTGGTGGTGGTGGCGAGGCACGCGTTGTTGGCGTGGAGTGCATTCGAGGCCAGGAAATCGCCCCCCTTCCACCTCAACGTTTCTAAGCCAGACTCCCCCTCCACCCACCCCCGCTTTCCCTCCCCACCCAAAGCTGCTGAACCCCCCCCCCCCCCTCCTTTAAAAGGCTCCCCAAACAATGTGGTCGTTTTCTGGTCAGCAATAATGAAGCAGCAGCCCCCCCCCCTTCCCACCCAGCGCTAAGTCAACAGCCCTCTCGGCTCTCCCTCGAGTCGTGGGGCCTCGCACGCAGGAGGTGGCCCACCCACCACCCGTGCCAGCAGGGACATTGCAGGGTGACCCCACGTGGTTATCCCGCACCCGTTCTTCGCTTCTCCTTCTCGCTGGCGTTGGGCCGACACACGTGGTGCCCTTGCCTGTCGCTGCCTCGCTTCTCAGCGCACTCCTATCACGAGGCCATCGTCTCCGCGTGCACTCCGCGGTCCTTCACATCCTGCAAGGGTTCGTCGCTCAGAACCACGTTTCTCTCTCTCTCGGCCGGCCTCTTTAAACCTCCACCCTGGTGCTTCCACGCTCATCATCACCGTTCTTCTTCCAACGTGGCTTTCCTCTCTTCTCACGACGCGTCCTACCAAGACACCTCTACCAACTTTCTCTAATCTGGTCTGAGTTGGGTACCGCTATCCCCTAACCTTAACCGACAGTCATCCTAGCTATCTAAGTTGAATTTCTCTAATCTGGTGTGAGTTGGGTACCATTATTCCCTAACCGACAGTCATCCTAGCTATCTAAGTTGAATTTCTCTAATCTGGTCTGAGTTGGGCCCCACCACTCTTCCCGTCTTCATTTCTGACCCGACACAGTCTCTGTAGTCCGTGCCATCAACAATTCAGTCCAACATGCAGACCCCCAATGCCGCTGGAGAATTGACGACGGCTTAGCCTCCAAAGTTGGGAGTCAAGCAGCGGGCCACCCGTGCAATTTCCATCCACCGCCTCCACAAGTCTCACGCCGCCACGACGCAATCTCACGTCGCGAACGGGCAAAAACCCCTGAGAGATTGACAATCTCGGGATAGCCACCTCGAGAGAGATGACGTCCTGGGAAAATCAGGGCAGGTGGCAACCCTAGATGAACCACCCAATGTGGTTGTTGATTCCACCACCACTCAGATGATTTGACAATGAGAAGTTTGTGACTTCGGGTGCCACCTGTTCCACTCTTGATCAATTCCGGGACACATTTCTCAGTCAGCACTCGATATGTACCAGAAAGCTGTCTACCCATACGGTGTACCCGTGTTCTTGTACAGGGAAATTGAGATTGCAGGTCCATACGGCGTACAGCCGTTTCAATACGGGCAAAAAATGAATTGTCTATTTGTTCGTGTTCCTCCCTTGTGATGGGACTTTGTAGGATGAACGTTGAGATTTATCAGGACACGGGGTGACCAATAAGGTCTGAATTGGTGTGTATTAGGGTAGGGGGCACTGATAAGGGGTTGACGGGGATGGTGCCAGAGGGTCAGCGACCTGCGGCCCTCCAGACGCACGCGGCTATTTAAGGTGAACGCTGCTTCGTGACTCGCATTCACCACGCTGCTCTTGAAATATAAAAACAATTATTTTTTTACAGAATTCTATAAAAAAAAAGTCTCGTCTTGTTATTTTTCTTGCCAATCCCCTGGCTCTGTACCAACCCCGTGTAGGACACTGCCGTCAGACACACACCAACACACAGCCACACACCAACACACACACACACCAACACGCAGACACACACCAACACACAGACACACACCAACACACAGACACACACAGACACACACCAACACACAGACACACACCAACACACAGACACACACCAACACACAGACACACACCAACACACAGACACACACACAGACACACACAGACACACACCAACACACAGACACACACCAACACACAGACACACACCAACACACAGACACACACCAACACACAGACACACCAACACACGGACACACACCAACACACAGACACACACACACCAACACACAGACACACACCAACACACAGACACACACCAACACACAGACACACACCAACACACCAACACACAGACACACACCAACACACAGACATACACCAACACACAGACACACACCAACACACAGACACACACACCAACACACAGACACACACCAACACACGGACACACACCAACACACAGACACACACACACCAACACACAGACACACACCAACACACAGACACACACCAACACACACACAGACACACACCAACACACAGACATACACCAACACACAGACACACACCAACACACAGACACACACACACCAACACACAGACACACACCAACACACAGACACACACCAACACACACACAGACACACACCAACACACAGACACACACCAACACACAGACACACACACACCAACACACAGACATACACCAACACACAGACACACACCAACACACAGACACACACACACCAACACACAGACACACACCAACACACAGGCACACACCAACACACAGGCACACACGGGGTTTTACCCGTCAAGGCGACATTCTGAGTGGGGGGGGGGGGCTAGAGTTGGGCGAAGGGCGAGGGGATGGAGTAAGCAGCGGAGAGAGCATTC